GACTATACAGTGGTTTTCCTCTCTTGACAACTTGAAGACTCTGGGGATGGGATTGTAGTTCTCCTCTGGGTTTACCACTTGTGTGGTCCTAGTGGTCAAAATAATTGTTAGAAGGAGAATCAAGCTGCAGGTAAGCAACAAACACAACTCTGCCATGGCATTGTGCCCTAAAGATGCCCTTGAGAACAAACAATGGAGCTCTTCATATGGTCATTGCACCATGAACATGGCTCTACTTGAGACTTCTTCATCTTAATCCATGGTTCCTCAAAGCAAATATGACATTATATCAGCTTGTCTCTATTAAGTATTATGTCAGCAGTTGTAATGGGGTGGAGGAATGCATAACCCTATTGCACTCCACTTTTTTCCTGTACCTCAGCTGAACTCTTCATTGATGCATGGGCCAGAATTCTTTCTTTTCAGGACTTTCAGGGTGTATTATAGAGCATTAACCTCATGGCTGTTGTACATAAAATGTTCATTAGGAGATACTAATGATTCACAGTCAAAGAAAAAGTATCATGCACTTTCTTAGCAAAGAATCAAACATATAATGCCAAGAAAAAACCGTTGTAAATAGTATACAACCTTGTGAGTAGTATTTAGAATACTATCACTTCTAACTGCTCAAGAGCTTTATTTTAATCTATGGATCTTCTTTATGTTGTTACCTATATTTAAAAATACTCTTCCAATATAATATTTATGTTTATTGCCTTTAGTGTGCCATATGTAAAACATTCCCCTCTGATTTGCGTTCAGAGGTGATTTTCTTAGACATCACTGCATGCCCGCAACATTGAACTTGGGTCACTCAGACTATTGAAGCTCATGCAGAATAGCATCAGAATAGTTCTTTCCAAACACTTCAGGATCCCATAACCAAGCCAAAAGTTTGGTGTCTCCATAGCTGTGCACATTCCAGTCCTTGGGTTAGTAACTGACTAGTCCTCACTGACTGGTGAAACCAAAATGTATGGTGCACTGAACTGGTACAGATTTTGAGACAGCCATTCCAACAGATACATTTTGGTCTTGTATCGCTCAGCTGCTGAGTTCACAGGACCATCTTTAACAGCTATAAATGTGTATCTCCCATGTGTGTGCTCCAGTTGGTTCCATTCTCAGTAACTGGATACTTCCTGCCAGGAAGCTTGCCCACAGTGAAAACTTCCTGTACAGTTACAGAAACTAGTTCTTAACACATCCAGTAACTGTCACATCCTATTTCTGAATGTTTATGGTTTCTTTCCAGCTGAGCTGTCCAGAACTGAGCTCTGCACCTGTCCAGAGACAGAGTATTCCAGCTAAAATTAATGTCTCCTGCCCATTGCTTCCTTTCTTTGCTTGGGCACAAGTCAGTTTTTGGAATAAAGCATCAGAGTTACCTGGTTGCATGCCAAAGTGTGCAGGAAGGAGACACCTGCATGCCATGGAATTATTTGGGGACACTTGTCTGAGGATACATATTTCCATCTGAATACAATATGACAGAATTTCTTTAAAGCCTTTTTTTTTTCTTTTTTATTATTTTGCTGCCAAGCTTCACAGTCCAAAGTGAGGGAGGTTATGGGTGCTTTGTTTTCAGACACGATTCTACATGTTTTCTCACTTTCTATGGACTAAAAGGACCTGGAGACCTGTGTAAGTTATGTCAGTTGCTTTGAGACACCACGGTATTGCAGCCCCCTCCAACCTCACCCACCCCAGCATGTATACAAATCCAGGATAAGCAGAGAGGTCCTCAGAAGGGTTCTAAACTAAAATTTAAAAAATGACCGTAAAGCTCTGTAATAAACCCCACACATTTTGTCGCACCAATAGACTTTGCATCATTGGAGTTGCCCAATAAAATGGTTCTCCAAACATATACAAAGATTGGACTTGTCCTATTGGGTCAGGCTAGCATTCAATACAGTCAAGTATTCCATCTTCAGCATTGACCAGAACCAGTTACTTTAAGGAAAAATAAAGATTTCTATAATGTGCCATTATGGAATAACCTGACCATAGGTAAAATTTAATCTTAACCCTTCAATTTAGAGACAATATGGCTAGGGACAGACATTATATATAAACTGGTTTAAGGGATCAGAAACTGGTTTAAACCTGTAACAGAACAGATGTTCAGTGCATATAAACCGGTTTGAAAATGGCTAAAAATGGTTTGAGATAAACCTGGTTGAATATAGTATCAGACTTAACTGATTTGGGTCAAACCGGTTTATGCAATGTCTGTCCCAGACCCCTTCCTGATTTAAATTAAATTAGACCCCGCCAGCACCCCGTAATACTCTCTGGGCTGGGCAGGGCTCCCTGCTCTGCAGTAGAGCTGGCCCCTCCCCTCTGTTCCTTGTCTGGAGCTCTGGCAGAGACTGCAAGCATCTGTCTGGCTTCCCCCTGCTCCCCCGCCCCCACTCCCTGCTAAGCAGGGATCCCCCCTTCCCCTCTGCCTTACACAGACACTTCTCAGCATTAGCTAGCAGACTACATGCTGGCTAAGGTTCGTGCTGTAGGAGACCAGACAAAAGGAGTCAGGACAAGCTTAGCTCTTTGGAGCTAATCAACAGGTATTTTGGTAATGCCCCTCCTTCCTTGGAACAAGTTGTTTAAGAAGAGCTTGAACTTTTGTTTTGGTGGTGGGGTGATAAATGCTGTGTTTAAACTCCTGCTGGCTCCCTCACTGACCAGCAAGGGGGATCTGATTAGGGGGATCCCTCCCTAATCAGAGCCTCCTGCTGGGGCCTGGCCATGCCACCCCCTCAGCTCAGCACTGTGCAAGGGCAGGGAGGGCTTCTTTAGAGCCCCCCCCCCCAGCTTCTAGTCTGAGCCACTGCAGGCATGTGCCTGCATTTTCTAAGTCTGTGGGGTTACAAACCGATTCAGCCTAGGCAGGTTAGACTAACCTGCAAAGATTGAATCAATTCTGACTCAGAATTTTTGAATGTCTGTCCCTAGCATATAGCACTGAGTTTCACCTCACCCTGTGCATCCTTGAGCTTGGGAGAAATTTTCCATGTCCCCGCCCAACACCTCACCTGATAGTATCTCTCACCTACAGTTGAATATTGTGTTAAGTGACAAGAGACAGTCATGCCTTTTTGCCCTTCAGATCTTATCTGACGGTCTGCATTCACTAGAAGTGACACATCAGGGCTAGGTTCCACTTGCCTTTTTCTAAAAGTTATTGTCTGAAACATTCATTGGAGGCTGATTCTGTCCCCTGACACAAGGATGCAAATTCCATTTTATTGCATGGTAACTAGATTACTGTTTTTGACCCTTTTAGATTTTAATTTTTTTTTAAATCTGCATTATACTGATATGTTTTTAGAATAACAAACTCAGTAGGATCCATTTGGATTCTAGGGCCTAATCTGATGCTTAGAAAGCCAAGGCTCAGTATATTCTTGCTTTTTCTTATAAGCCTTTGAAACCTGCCAGTATATCTGCCAACTGTCTGATGCCAGTGCTATGAAAACAGATGAGTCAGTGTAGGTCAGGTGATTTAAAACCATAGCACATGCTGTTTTTGAAAACAGTTTAAATCTCTGTGGGGTCACACAGTTGAATTTCAGGGGATTAAAATAATTACAGTCAATACAGAAACTTCTTGACTACTAGGGAACAGGTTTTAGCCAAACTCATACCTTTTCTCAAAATGGGTTTACCTTCCTTAAAACCTTTTTCCTAGGATAAGGTGTTCATTTCCCCCAGAATACTTTGGTATTCTTCTGAGAATGTTACAAAACCAGTGCGTTTTTCTAAATATTGATAGTGATAGCATTAGCCTAGTAGTTTCCAACCTTTTTACAGGGGGCATCCCTCTCCAAGATGTTTGAATTGGCAGGGCCCTGAGTCGAGAGCCACTGTTTCTGCTGCTTCAACTACCCACAGTGGTTCTCAATTAGGTGATCATCACCGCCAGGTAAAACTTCCCCATACAACTCCTGCACAGCTAGACCTAGAAGGGGCATGGCATGTGCACACTCTCCTGCTTCATTAGGATTCTCTGATAAGCCTGAAGGAAGCAGGTGAGACTGTTCCTGGCACCTCTGTTTCTATGAGATGATGTGCAGGGTCAAACTGGGAAAGGCTGCAGCACAAGTTGGCTTTCCTGTCTGCTTATCAGACAACCCTAATGAGGGAGGAGTGTGTGTGTGTGTGTTGCAGCTCTTCCTGGCCTGGCTGTGTACCAGGCCTATGGGGCACTTTTACCTGGCCACTGCTGCAGCATCCATACTGTGGCACCCCTGAGGGGGTCTTACAGCACCGTAGGGTACCATGGAGAACACATAAAGAAACAACAAACTCTCCCTGTGCCTGAAGAAGGGTATTTGTACCCCAAAACTTGCAAAGAACAATTTTTCCAGCTATTTAGTTGGTCTAATAAAAGACCATCTACCCAAAGAGCCTTGTTTGTCTATGTCTTTAGACCAACATGGCTACAATTAACAACCCTAACCAGGGTACCATGGCATTTTTTATGGAGGACCACTGGAATGGGTCTACTGTTTGAAAGAATAAGGTGGATGAAGGAGTGGGGGTGACAAAAAATTGTTCCTGGATTGGAAAGGGCCTTTTTAGGGAACTTATTTATTAATTATCCTACAGACATTGTTTTCTTTCCAATATTTTCACGTTTTGTGTTGAACCTAGAGAATTTATAGATAGACATCTGAGAAAAAATCTAAAAAAGAAAATAAAAATGAAAGCCCATCAATCTAACTCATTATGAAGTCTGGTGATGAATGGGCCTCTGTGGGTAGATAAGTAACTGTCCTTCATACCTTTATACAGGATGGAGTATTTTTAAGTCAAGGCAATTTTAAATAATTTGTTTAAATTGATTTTTAAACTATTAATTTCAATAAGGCCTCATAATACTTACCTGAAAAATTACCTGAAAAACTTACCTTATATGTCATCATAACTTTGGGTACATACAGGCATTTGGGGAGGTTATGGGATGGTAGAGGTTAAATTGAGTTAAAATGGTCACCCAATCTAAAGTAAATAAGGATGTTGGAGGGGGGGGTTAGTGGAGGGGCATGGGAACCCTGCGGGTACAAGCAGGGTCTGTAGGGGCTTGGAGGATTTTGAGGGCTAGTGGGGTCTGTGGGGAGGTTGGAGGGATCAGGGGACTAGCTGGGTCTGCGGTGGGGGACTGGTGGGGTTTGGGAGGGTTTGGTGTCATCGTCGGGGGCTAGCAGGGTCCATGATGTGGGTTTGGTGGAGTGGAGGGTTTCTCTCTTCCCCCCTTCCCCTTCCTTCCACCCCCAGCCAAGCAACTTCCCCCAAGTGAACCAACCCCAATCTCGCCCACCCTTGCCCCCACTCTAACTTACTTCCTAAGACTGACACTGGGAGTGGCTTTTGGGATACTGAGTATGGCAGGCTTAGGGCAGGAGAGCTGGCTGGTCCATGGTGAGAGGTTGTCCATCTGTGGGGGAGGGGCTAAAAATAGCCAGGTGCTGGGGGGTGGGGGTTAGGAAAAGCACTGCCCTGGGTCTGGAGCCACTGGTGGAACTTTCCCAGCCCCAGGGCTGTGCCAGGAACTGTACAGAAGTTCAGATGTTCAGGTAGATCAGTCTCACCAGACCCAATCTGAGGTAGACTACCTCCGAGGTACAATTAATTTAGATTGGGTTAGCCATTTTTAGATTAATTTAGATTGGGTTGCTCTAACTGTCCTGAACTTCAGTACAGTTTGCACTTAGTTTGACCTAACTAGGGATCTGGGTGAACTAAATTAGATTGGTTGGCCATTTTTAACATGAACTAATCTCCCCCTAATCTCCTCAAAAGTTTGTATGTACCTTTTAGGTTAAACTGGCTGATGAACTGAATTATAAATACTAGAAGAGTTTTGAAATAGACTGCTGGTAATGCATCCTATTTGAATTTTATGAAACAACTCAAGACTAAGTATATGTAAAAGTATCTGAAAATAAAAAAGTAAGGCCTTGCTCTCACAAAGAGATCTTCTTACCCTCACAAATAGTTAAACTACCTTCAACAGGGTCACTCATGTTTAAAGTTAAGCATGCATGTAAGTATTGGCCGCATCAGTAGCTGCAGTTGTATTTATTTGAACCTTTGAGTTATTTGAGCTTATTCTGATCTCACAAGAATATTAGTACTTGTCTAAATGGAAGGTATGGGGTGGGGGGCATTTGTACTGGAATAAATTAGGCAGTGAATTATAATTGAAATTATAACATAGAAATTTACTGTGTGGATAGTCTTACCATGCTACCCACTCCCCGCACCCCTCCCCATGTTTCTTTCAGTTCAGCTTTTGTCACTTTGGTTAATAGGTAAACTAAAAAAGCCTCTACGTGGGGTGTTATATCGGCTTGACCACAGTAAAACATCCCTGTATATTCAAATCCTCAATCAGGTCCTGGACTTCTCTTTTTCAGCACAGGTGGGTCTTTAAGTGTTAAACATGTTAGTACAAACCCTCTAAATATTAGGAAACCATTGAAGGAAACGTTGAATTGCCCTTTGGCAATTAAAGGTTGTATATAGAACTAGCAACTTGTACATTGTTTTACTTTATTAATTGCTTTAAATTACCATCTTTCTCTGCTTCAGTCTATGTCCCATATCTTTGCCCAGGAGCTAACAGCCATGTTAACAGATACTACAGCCACTGCTCCATAATGACACCCCCTGTACCATTAGCCTTCTTAAAGGGAGCAAGAAGACGCATATGATGCACCCATTTAAAGTGAGGCTGAGCTGAGCCTGTAATGAGTATTATTGAACCCCCCACAGTGAAATTCAGGTGGAGTCAGCCAGAATCACTTCAGGGCCTCCCATTAGTCTCTGTGTACTCCCTCCTTACTGGAAATGCTTTTTATGGCACAATCTAGCCCTTATTCAGCCAGAATTGAATACTGTATCTCTTTCCCAATCAATTTATTTTTATTTGATTTAGTTACGTTAAATGATCCTGCTTCATTAAAATACTGAATGTAACCCCCCCCCCACAAATCTAGATATGGAACACATATCATAAAACTAGAAATATAAATGCCAGATACAAAACAGATACTTGTTGTAATACACATCCACTTTATAGGTATGAGACTAAGACACTCTCTGCAGCAACACATCCATAATGAATATGTATTTATTTTCAGGAGACAGTATTCAGGCTGGACACACAGACCTTGGAGTCTGGCAGATTGAAATGTCCTTTTGATCCTCAGCAGCCTTTTGCTTCCATAATGGCAGGTAAGACATTAAAGCATGGATGCTTTTCCCTCGCATGTTCACTAACATATTCTGAAATACTGAAAACAGCAGAGATGCTCAGCAGGTGTAAATCAACTTGGACTTCAGTGATGCAGTGATGACCTACCTGGCTCAACAGCATCCTGAAATCTGCATATGTTAAGAAGGGAGCTAGGAGAGAGCCAGTAAATGGAAGCAATGCCTATTTAAAATCAAAATGGTACCATATTCATTGGTCAGTTCTGTTACCTAAGACATACATCTCCACTGTTTCAAATAATTTTGGGCTTCTGTTTACAGCTACCAGTCTGTTCCACTCTTAGAAGTCTGTGGACCTGAACCATTTCCATAAATACATTTTTGATGCTTCCAGTTACTTGAACGGCCACTTTTGAGGCATTCAATCTAAGAACAAGATAGCACAATCTGCCTCCTGTATAGGTTCTGGTGCTGTGTGGCCTGACATTTGGTGCCATGAAAGGTCAGACCTCCAGATTTCAAACCACCAGGAGAGTTACTTTAGTCAAGGCTTGGTTCATAGCTTTGGACAATTTTAATTTAGCTTGTCCATCAAGTGTACGAATGGAAGATAAGAGTAAAGTACCGTGACATTTTCATTTGAGTCAGAAGAGGAGTGGTGACAGTGCTTTGAAGTATTGGTCACTGTGTGTTATAAAAAGAATATGACTAATGCTCAGTCTTTATTCTCAGATAATAAGATAGATGATTTGTGATCCTGACCCAACAGGCCAGCACTTCCTTTATTAAAAACAATAGATTAAAGCCAGTGGTTATCCTTCTCAGGAACCCCTAGTATTTTTTAATGGCCATGAAGTCTATTTTTAAACAACTATTCCAAAAACTTCTACTATTCTCTTTACCCTAAGTGACCAAACACTTTGATTTATTATAGTCTTGTTTGCCTGTTTCAGTAGCACTAAAACACTTTGACTTTTCTCTTAAATCTTTTGAAATGGAGAAACTGCTATGTTGCAGCTTGTGAAGATAATTTTTTAAACATAACAAGACCCATGCCATACCAAATTAGTGATCTGTCTAATTCAGTATCCCTGTATGAATGTGAGTGGTTGCAAATGCTTCAGAGGAAGGCACAAGAAATAGCACGGTGATCAGTTACGAAATAACTTGCCACTCCTAACACTAATCAACTGGAGATTATGCTAGAAGCCTGAGGGAGCTGTATGACTTCTGGCAAAGGCATGGCACTGAGATGCAGGAAATCTCAATTTCTGGTTCATATTTCTTTTTTTCCCTGTACCTCACTTCTCCCATCTGCAGAATGGGAACAATGATACTGTTCTCCTTTGAGAAGAACTTTGAGATCTCAAGATAAAAATATACATATGCACTGAATATTATCTCTGTTTCTCTCTATCTGGTTTACTGCAGCCCATATAGTTTTAATTCTGTTCCATTTATTTTTCTTTTTTTCTTTTTTAATTTTTAAAATAATCTGGCAGTAATTCATCTGATTAATTATTCATTATGTTAAAAAATCCTGGTGGCTAGAATACATGGGAGCAGATTTTTGCCAGTTTACAGTTTATTTAGTCCATATCCTTACAAAAAACCAAAAACCCAAACTGTAAATACTTGCTGTTATGAGTATTCACAGAGAAGTCACAGATATCATTAGACATTCTGAATATTCACTTACCTCATCTGGGTAGAAAAATGGCCTTTTAAGACCATTATTGTTACGTGGCATTCTTATTTGTTGTTGTTATTTATATTAATGTTCAGGATCCCTCTTATTTAAAAATCTGTTCACCAATGGTTTTGTAGAAAATAAGTAGAACTTGGAATGCTGGATGCCAAAAAAAAAGCCCAACAAAAAACTAAAGTGCTGAAAAGTTCTTGTCAACAGGAGTTAAGTGAGGATCAGCATTTTTTTTCTTTTAGCCCTTCAGATTTATCAATCATTGAATGCCTGTCAGTTAGCAAACACCAATTATACTGTCCATTCCTCATTATGACATTTACCTTTCAGAATATGCTATTGTTCTTGCACAGTGGAGACGCACTGTCTGAAAGATGTGCTTCTAAATATTACCGTGGAAAGACTACTTTGATGATACCAATCCAAGTTAATAAAAGCAGGAGAGATTTATTTGGTTGGGTATATTATAAACACACAACACTGTACTAATATTGGATATGCTTTCAGTATACGACTGTTTCCTTAAAGAGACCCTGAAAAATATTTCCACTGAGGTCAAAGTTGAAGTAGTGGGTTTTGACATGTACAATGTGATTGTTGTGAAGTGTAAGTTTCTTTCACTAAATTACAGATAACATGCATGATAGTTCAGCTGTTTCTCATGTCAGACAACAACAACAAAAATCACCATTATATTCAATACTGTTATATAAAAAAAATCCATTCTGGTAAATTATCTCTTTGGTTTGCAAGGAAGACAAACATGATGGAATGCATGATGCTATGAAAAATGTTCACAGCAAGATCATTTTTAAAATATTTCTTTTCAAAGAACAAAAAAGAAAGTATTGGTCTGGTCTTGTGCGCTCTTTGGTTTTATACAGTGCTCAGATATCAGGAAATTATGTATTGTATGCATAGCAGAATAAACCGTAGCTGTATTTACAGCTGGCACAACTCAAATGCATTACAGATGGAATTTCACTACGTGTGAAATCCTGACCGCCTTATCCAGGTAAGGCTCATTTACGTTAGTAAGTACATCAAGGTACAATGAGCAGGATTTGATCCTGTATTCAAACTCAAGATTAGTAGTATGAGCTGTATGCAATATTAATTTGTGTGAACCTGATCTCATTTTCATAAACGACACACTGGGGCACTTAGAAGCATAAGTCTCACTCAGTAGCCAATGGGGTTTAGGCTCATTACTGCCTAAGTCATTTTTGAAAATGGAATTTGAACTCCTAAGCCACTTAGAAAAACCAAAATCATTCTCCTTCAAGGAACTTGACCAAATCACAGGTCAGAATTAAAATTAAAAAAAAACCAGTGGCTTAAAATTAGAATTGTAAATATATATAGCTGTGTTTATTCCCTCAGTAAAAATGGGAATGATTTAAACCATACATACAGCGCTCTTGAAATACCCACACTATTTCTCATTCACAGATGAGTACCTCTATGCTGGAACAGCTTCTGATTTCCTTGGCAAAGATACTGCTTTAACACGTTCTCTGGGCCTGTCTCCGGACCACCATTACATTAGAACTGACATTTCTGAACATTACTGGCTTACTGGTAAGATATTAAACATATGCTGGTACTAGTTATATCGTCTCTGTTCTTTTTCAAACACCTGTATAACTAACATAGATACAATCACTTAAGGGTATTTGTTGGGGATGTATAACTAGAGGATTAAGAAGCAGAATTGATAAAGTATAGAAAATACGTACCAGAAAGGAAAATATTGCAGTTTCGAGGGAATTGGAATATCAGACCTCTGATCCATGTGTCTGTATAATGTACAGCCATTGGAAATAATTTTGTGACATAAATGTTTCTATTTTCAGCATTGTCAGAATTTTTTTCAACTAATTTTCCAATTACTTTTTCACAGCTCTTTCCTACAGCGTGTTAAACTGACAGGCTAGAAAATCCATTTTGTTGGGTAGGAGGTCTTTTTTTGGAAGGAAAAAAATACTTTCTGTTGCTGCAAACAGCAGTTTAAAACCACTAAGGGCACTTTAAACTAGCTTCCCAAGCAAAACACTGCTTTTTCTTGCTGATTAAAAACTATTCTAAGCTAGTAAAGCCTCTGAAAATGTCCACACTCGCACCACACACGAAGCAACACAGAGAACTTCATCCACAGTCCTAAAACCATCCAGCGTTGAAGTGTCCATATTTAGTCACTTGTCTTTAAAAATGAGATAACACTGCCCCCTGATATTGGATGCCTATGTGCCTTTTCTGAGTGACTTGTGAAACCAGAGGCTGCTGACCACAAGAGCTTATTGACTTTCCAACAGTTATCCTTTGAAAGAAATTATTTCATTTGTTAATTCTTGGAGTCTCCAACAAGAGTCTCTCACTCTCTCACCTTCTTCCCTTCCTCACCTATGTCCCTCATCACCCCCATCCCAGCATCTCTCTTGAGTCAAAAAAAGGTAATGCCCAGAATACCCATAGTTGTTTTATGACTGAGCCCTTTCAAGATCAGTGGAGACCTTTCAAATGCTTTCTTCATCATCCTTGCAGTCCTTATGTGTTTGGTCCTATGCCTGTAGTGTCCCACCCATCCTGCTGATGCCATCTGGCCCCTGCTGCTAGACAATATGGGGTAAGGCAGGGCAGGTTCAACATGTGATCCAGGCCTGGATGGCATTCCTAGAAAGTAGAACCAGTATAAGTTTCTTTGAGGCTCTGTAATGCAGCTAGCTCCTTAACAAACCAACCAGCTTTATAGCTGTGGTCACTGACCAGTCCTTATAGCATAAAGATTTTAACCCGTTTTCTAAAAGGAAATTTACGGTCCTATAAAGCAGTGGTTCCCAAACTGAGCCACGGACCACACTTGGTCCACAATAACACACCATCTCCACACTCCTCCTTTCCCCCCTGTTCAGCTAAAAGTATTATAAGTTTGATGATCTGTGTGGGTACCAGTCCATCCCTAGAAGATTTGGAAAGTTGACAGTATCCATTTTTCCAAATAGTTTGCAAACGGGTGGGCTAAAAGATCAATAGTACAGTTTGGACCTAAGGAGCTTGTACACTATAGTGGTCAATACATTAGCATGTAAGATGACATAGTTCCCTGCCAAAAGAAACAAGCTACTGAAGAGACCAGTATTACAGACGCTTATCTGCCCTGTCAGTATCTGTGCATGAGTAGTTTCCTTTACATTGCTAAATTACCTACATGTGCATTTATAAGGCATCCTAGACAAAAAAAAGGAACAAGAAAGAGATGCAGCATATAAAACAAAGAGATTGAACATAGTGGGCACGTCCAGATGAGCGTGGCCGTGTGGAATGTGGCACCGCAAACACGTCTGCAGCACCACATACCGCACAGTCAGGTGTTCTCCGCGATGCAAGGGCACACTGCCCATGTGAGCACTGCTCCAGGGTTTTTTTGCACTGTTTTTTTTTTGACCTCTGGATATCCAGGGGTCAAAAAAGCCTGCACAAAAAAGAACTAGAGCAACACACACATGAGCACTGCGTGCTGTTGAAAAGCGGAGTTGGGCCTCCCGGAGCCATGTTGCAGCTTTCAGCCAGGATCGCCACTGCTGCAGCCCCGAGAGGACCCCAGGTAAAGCACCGTGCTGGCCCCAGCCTCCCCTACCACTTCCAGGGTAACATGCTACGCACTAAAGCACGTGTGGCACTGGCATCCCCCACGGAGAAGTAGCTGCGGCGCAAGGTGCACCACTGCTACTTGTCCCCAGGGAACCAAACTTCCACATTTTTTTGGATGGAGCCAGTGTGTATATTTTAGTCCTGAGCTATAGGGCTTTTTTCTCTTTCTTTTTTTAAAACTTTTTAGATATGTTCATTATTAATTTTCGTTTTCAGTTAAAGCCACTGTGTTTATGAAAGCTTTACAAGGATGCTGTGCATTATATTAATGTTGCTGGGACTTAAAAAAGCCAGCTTAGTATGAGAGATGGCAGTGTGAAAACTGTCCCATGCTATGAAAACAATGAAGCTCCAACTTAATATTCACTTAGATTTTGCTCGGGTTTTAGCCATATTAAAAGACTACAACTGAAGCACATCTGAAACTGAACCCAAATATTGATGAAGTGTTATACATTGAAATAAATATGAACTTGAGGTTTCTTAAGTGTGTTAAAAATGATTGTGTTAAGGCTGAAGAAATTCTGACTGCAACTCTGATTTAACCATGTTGTGTGCTCAGTAACATAATACTCAGTTCATTATTAGTTTTTATGTAACATTAATGGTCACATACATTTTCTGCTTTCAGCAAATTTTGGTGTTAAAAAAATATTTACTTAATTTTAAGTTAAAAAAAACCCCCAACCTTTCAAAACTTGAATTTACCAACCATTTACCAGGCATGTTTTAGACCTCCAGGAACGGTTGTACATATTTAAGTAATTGTACAATTAGTAATAAATTACTTGCAGGAATGAGTCATGTTTTACTTAGGATAAGTGAAAAATGTGTGACTTGTTCCCTTTACAGTGTAGAGAGGGCTGCACTAGAATATATTTTGGCATCTTTAAGTTCAATTTTGATTTATTAATATATTTTTGAAAGCAAGATTGTTTCTGCCTATAGAAGGTTTAGCAAAATAAAAGCAAAATGGAAAAACTAATACGATACTGTGTATGGCAATTCTTTCACACTTGGCTTTTACATAAATAGCAGCCTCACGAAAGAGATGGATAGATAACCTTTCTGGTGATTCGCATACACATATGAACTCCTGTTCAGATTGCCACCAAAGTCAGAGAAGTCCTGAGGCTTAAGCACTTAAGATTGGAGAGCACTGGACATGACTTGATCCACCTAAGCATGTACATGACAAGTGTCAGAGAAAAAGGATTGTATAAGGATTGACAGGAACCCTGGTAGTATGTCTGGTTCCCAAGTTCTGCAGTCCTGTATCTGCCAGATATGCGCACACAGTCAGCAAATTCACATTCCTCCCACTTCCACCGGCAGTTAATGCCATAATCAGAGTTAAGGTCTCCTTGAATAGTATTTATCTCTTAGGATTTGCCCCAGATCTAAGCCTTTTTTGTCAGAGGATAATACTAAAGGGAATTACTCTTCTTCTTCTGCATCCTACGTATGTTGGGACTAGTCATGTCCTCATGTCGTCTCTGGAGGCTAAACTAAAGACTACTAATGCAGAGGGTCTTCCACTAGCTCATTCTTCTTCCTTCACATCCCTGTTTTCTGGGCATTTATTACTGCTTGGTGCCTTCAGCATTTGAACTTCTTACTTTGCCTCTTAACAAGGCTTCTATAGGTAGAATAACCTTCAGCAAGCCTTTTGATTATTGAGTCCTCTTATATTACATTGGAACATGTAATGAGGAAGGTAAATGGGCTGTAAGACTATCAGTGATCTTGGTGATAACAGAATCTGTAATATTACTACTGCTCCCAATACACCCCATAGAAGTAAATTGCTAAAAGTTTATGCCATACTAGGATCTAATGTGTTATCTATTCTCAGGATCTGCTGTCTCCCTTAGTGCTGTATTGTTTGCTTACATATGGCCAAACCATGAAATCTTCAATTAAGAAAACTTTCCATTAAAGTCAGATATATTTCTGAGTGATAAAGACCACATGCATGGGGATGAAAACAATGATTTAAAACGCAGTTTGTTTCTCGTACAACACTTCAATAACCCCAGCTCATAGCTGATTATACCTTGCTCTTCTACATAGTGTGAACTGAAGTCAAAAGATGAGACAAAGGCTTATTGGTGGAATGCAATCTGGTTTTTGTATCATGAGATGGGGCTATGTTTTTAAAGTGATTTTTATCTCTTTGTCCATGTACCTTTTCCAGTATATTTTTGTTTTGATTTAACTTTCAACATCTATGTTTTCAATTGCAATTTTAAGTCTTTAAGTATTCGTGTTCTTTTATTTAATTTTTTAGGGATTTTTTCTAAATCTGTTCCAAGAACATATTTATGAACTTGTTTTTTGTGTTTATTTGCCAAGTAAAGCACTGAAATTTAATTTAAAAAAATTGGAATTCAGAGATCAGCTCTGCACATGTGGATTTAAAGAAAAAAATCTATCTAAGGCCTGTCTACACATTATATTTATGCTGCAATGAATGTATTAACACACAAATAGGAAGGCATGCACCCAATTTAAGATGTCATAAAATGGGGAGCAAGCCATGAAAGTGTTCCATGTATAATGTAGAACATTTTATGACTTTTTTTTTTTGCGTGGCACTTTAAATTGAATGTGGGGCCAGTGGCCAACGATCAGCTGATTGTCAGTCCAGCTACAGGCTGGGCAGGAGGGAAGCCAAAGGGCTTCTGCTGCTGGGGACTTTCCAGCCAGGGCTGCCTAGGTTTTAATACCCAAGCCGGGAAGCAGAGGTTCTCAGGGGGGCAGGAGCCTTTAGCTTTTTCTGCTGGGGATTTAAACCCCACGCCAAGCAGCACTGGTAGGGCAGCCTGGCACAGGTGAACAGTCTTCCCCTCATCAAGGACTTTAAACCCTGCGCCAGGCAGCTCTGATTATACAGCCTAGCGCAGGAGGAGAAGAGGTTCCCGGTCCCTGTGCCAGGCTGCCTGGCCAGAGATGTTTGGCACAGAGTTTAAAGTCCCCAGCAGGGGAAAATCTCTGTTCCCCCTCCCATACCAGGACTTGAAACCCTGTGCTGGACAGCTCTGACTGGGCTGCCCAGTGTAGGGGGGACTTTAAACCCCGTGCTGAGCAGCTCTGGGTAGCTGGGTGTGGGACTCCTTCAGCCGAGCTGATAATCAGCTGGTTGTATGGCACCCAGGCTTCAGTTTGCCAGTGCAGGGGGAGCAATACTGCTGGATTTTATCCATGATTTTTTAGGTAGCTGCAGAAGCTTATGAATGCTTGGATCTGGGTCTTTCAAAAGAGCATAGAGGGGGTTCAGTGGAAATTGAATATATTTGTTTTCCTTACATTCATTTGAAAATCCTGGCTTAAATTTATGCAACTCGATACACCATTAAGGCATCCCAGTTTTAAAAGTAAAATAACGTTGTACCTATTCAAGCCCAGAAATTGTACCATCTGGCACAAAGGAACATACTTGGAATTTAAACAAATTCTATCTTTTATCTCATGCTTGGATTGTAAGCATTGAGGCAGGGGCCATAGGTTTGTTCCATTTTTGTACAGCACCTAGTACTTTGGGCTAATAGCCCATGCCTAGAGTTTCTAGCTCCTAATATAAATAATAATGAAAATATAAATGAATGAACATATTTAAAAAGATGGGAAAAGATCATCCAACAGTCTAAAACATCAGTACAGTTTTTACTCTAGGTTCCATGTTATCCTTTTCTCTGCCAGTCAAATCCCTAAGAGAAAGGAGGCACTTTACTGCATCCTGTGAAGGCCAAAGCTTCTGTTCAGTGTCAGCCCAGGTAACGGATCCCACCATTGATGGTGTTTCTCTGCTGAATTTGCCTGGCTACTTACCCTATTCTCTTGGAAGGCAAAGCAGTTTTCTGTGTGTTAACGTAATGCTCTCAAGAGGGCTCAGGTCCTGTGGTTTATCACAAAGATATCTTAAAGCTATTTTCCTAAATGTTGAGTTCCTCTATTTATACAATGTATGCTGTGTTCCAGTTATTAAGGTGTTTGGCATGTATTTGCTTTCTGGTTTGAATGGATAAGCAAAATGAAAATCCCAAGGTTTTAAACGTGTGAAAAAGAAAACACCAAGCAGAACAGGGGTTGAACCAAATAGCTTAACAAGTAATTTTAGCACTGCAGTGTAGGAAAACCATTGGCTTTGTGAGGCTATTGTAGGAAGTGATTAGCTTCATAAAGCTGCCATAAATATATGAGTTTGTGTGTATAAACAAACAGATGTTATATTACTCTCTTCCATACTGTTTCTACTAAATGTGGTTTTCTACTGTGCCTAGTCATACACAATCCATACAAGCAAAAAATCCACTTTATTACAGATTTTTCTTTTAGGCCTAAAAACCTGGACATAATACCTTTACATTCAAAATGGCAGCCATCTATGCCAATATAAAGAATGAAAGTTAAGCTGTCATACTAGAAATAAATATTTTGGGAATCAGTTCAGCCCCCGTTCATTGAAGATGAAGGCAAAACTGCTCTCTATGACAACTCACTGATTTCATGACATGGATATAGAAGTGCAATCTTGATCTCAAATATTAAGGAATTTTTTACACCTTTATAACTTGTTGCTGTTTTTGGGGACTTCTTTTAGGAGCAAAATTTATTGGACTCTTCCCCATCCCGGACACGTACAACCCAGATGACGACAAAATCTATTTCTTTTTCCGAGAAATATCACAAGATAGCAGTACCTCTGATAAAACAATCCTTTCCCGAGTTGGAAGAGTGTGTAAGGTGAGAAATGCACTATGTTTCCTTTTCAGAAACAAATAAACTCTCGATTTTTTTTTGGTTTTTTAATAAATACAGAACATGCTGTCTTAGTAATATGCAAGGAAATGGATTACTAATATCATCTAAAATTTCCTGCAGAATGGACCTGATATAAGTAGTAAGCATAATAAGATGATAATTTTGCATCTAAAAAGCAAACTTCAGCTGCACTGTGGTGAGTGCCTTGGTTTTGTCACTCCTTAGCTGAGGCTCAGTATTGGGCAAGTATACGAGCTAAAGTAATTGGGCTTTTAGCATGAACCCAGCCAGCACTAGTTTCTTCCAGCCACAGCTATAACCCATATCCTGTAGCAACAGATGTGGTAACTGCAGATGCCCTTAAGGGGCTTGATGATTGGACTCATGGACTTGGGAATTATGGACAACGTTTAGAGAAATGACGCTTTTAAAACATATGGATCAATTTATGAACATGTTTGTATTTAGTGAATTTCCATACAATGGCCATTCACGTTTTTTTTTAAAGTGAGACATTCTAATGTCCTATTTTAACTGCTTAAGTTCTCCTTCATGGTTTTTATTGAGTCTCATTGTACATTTAGTATGAAGATCTGAAAATATCTGGCCTGTACAATCTTTAGCTTATGAGATCGCCGAAGTCTTACCAGAATTCCCAGTGGCTGCATCTGTATGTGCCATTAAGGCAATGCGATAAACTCTGGCACAGGCGCAGTGTCTGCACGTGTACTGAGGACTGCAGCAGTATGGGCCAAGGCGGAGGCTTGGGGGGTCAGCCCTGGGCTTCAGGTGGCAGCGCTGGGTAGTGGAGGGATTGGCTGGGGCATGAGGATGCTAAAGTGCAGAGCTGTGCAGCAGGCAGCCCCCACACTTAACTATCCTCATGCCCCAGGCACTGTCGACATGTACACTTCATCATACACAATTACTTTGCTGTAGGGTAGTACTGTCCTGACCATACCCTAATACCTAATAAAGGTGCATGCATAAACAGTGATGCTTTACTGCTGAGCTTAATTAGTCAACTCCCCCCAGTAAAGTGCACATGTAGATGCACCCCATTGACACATCTACACATGCAATTAATGCAAAGCAATAAAGTCTGGCACATATCATGCTGGAGTGTGTTGCTCCCGGGCATTGCATTGACACACGCCCCCAGGACTTCAGGATGTTGAGCCAGGTTGGAGCATCCCAGGTCTGGGGGGTCAGCCTGCCAGCCCAGGTAACATGCTGCAGAGGGGCTGTCTGGAGCATGGGGAATGAGGGTCTGTAGTGCAGGGCTAGCCAGCAGGCAGCCATGCCCCAGCCATCCCAGTCACTGTTTACACGTGCACTGCTACAAAGTAAAAAACTCTGCAGCAGGATAGTACTTGTATTTACAAGTACTAACGTGCTCTGGCATTTATTAGTTCCCTGTAAGCTATTAGGGCCACACATGTAGATGCTAAGATGTTTATTGCAGAGCAAATTAGGCAACTGCAGTAAATGTCTCACGTAAATGCGCTCTCTATGCAGTAATCTGAGAAATAAACCTACCACATTTCTGTGGTATCATTTTTTTTTTGTATTGTCTAAAGTTTTGTCTGATGCAGCATTTAGCTGCATTTACAATGGTCATTAAGTGTTATGAAACTCCTTGGTGGGGGGGGATCCCTTGAAACTAAATTAAACTAAATGAAACTAAATGAAATCCTTCATGAGTCAGAAGGACATAAGCATAGGCTCCAGAAAGAAAATGGATGTGAAATGGCAGAAAAGCAGGCTGGACATATTTATATGTGAAAGTGAATATCATTATTGAGACTTCAGGGGCCACGGACACTTGACACTCCAGTCTTTGGCTTACAAATCTTGGAAGAAGATTGAGCAACCAGTTCCCTGTAGTCAAACAAGAATGGACAGGCTTCAATGTTTCGGGGGATTTTTTTTTCCCACAGCTGAATGAAAACAGATATAATTTGCTACTAGATGTGGCATTTGTTGATTATGAGGAAGTACTTAATGCATTAGGGGAAATGTGTTAGGTTCTGCAAAGCCAAGGCTGGGAGAGATTGTGTTAAACTAAGATGGATGCATTAATAGTAGACCTCCAGCCTCCTCTACTGAGAATAAAAATAGATAAGTTATCATAATAAAAGCAGAAGTATTGCAGAGACCTAATGACCAGGCAGAATTGAGTCGCCAGTGAGACAATATTCTACAGCAATAAATGAGAGAAATGATGTCTTGAGTCTTATGTTTTCACTTTGCCATTCATGAACAATATGGAAGAAATTGCAAAACATATACTTCTGTTTTATTAAGTGCAAGCATAACTCTCATTTACAGCAATGGGAGTTGGGTACATGCGTAGTAACATATACATTATCCCTCAAAATGCACATGGTTGCCTTGTTTACAGAGCCAGGTGTTCACAAGTTCTGGTAGGATCTAAATTTCAAAAGCACTCAGCAGCCAGCAGCTATGTAACATGCTGCGTGGGAACTTATGGCTAAAGTATTTTTTTTTAGTGACTGTTTTATCTAGGTCCCTAAATGTTTAGGGAGTATAGCTGTAACAAATCTGATCATTTGTGCATTTGTCTTGATATCAAAATGTGTATATCTAACATTGGTCTGGTTCAAACTAACTCTTTAGTTGCTTGTCTGTCTTCAGTATTCCCTGGTCTGCTGTGAGAAGTCTAGCATGCTTATAAGGTATATGTGCTCATATCCATGGCTACACCATATCTGAGTAACACATGGGTTTGAGAACTGTAGTCATTCTACTCCATTGCTTGATAGTTGTTAAATCTTAAGGTGATCGAGCCAATTTTCTACAAACTCAAGGGTTTTTTCTTCCCTCCACCATCTTTATAGGATGCAGAGGATAATATTGTATGTCAGGAGACCAGAAACCTATTAAATAATTTGCTTGGTGGCTATAATTTCAGTTTCTTTCCCTGGGAGCTTCACTGTTCAGTGTCCCCTCGGGAGCCACATTAGTGTCACTCAACTAAAATTAACCTGTACTTTTCATAAGGGAGGTTAGTCATTGCAGCATATTCTGTAGCTCATTTTCATTGGCTGAAAAGTATTGTCTCTCTCTGATCCTCTCCCTCAGGGATAGTCTTGTCTGGAGATCATTTGCCTTTCCCAGCTACTTGAAGGCCTAAAGATTAAAATAATCTCCCTTGTAGTTCTTTGCCCAGAGTCAAACAGCTGTTGCCTGTCCTGTTCAGAGGGCTGTTCTTATTAAGCATCTCGAAACAGGCTTTGTACTAACACAGCCTCCATAGCAAAAAAAAAGGCACTTGATTAGGGTTACGTCATTCGCATTATGTACAACTCTGTTGTTATACGTTATTGTTTGTGCTGGAAAGAGATGCTTTTAACAGTCATTTTCAGACTTGAATGTGTAATTTATTATACCAAATGGCACTAATTATTTTTGTTTTTAAGCCCCCAAAAAGGGGTATAGTGAGCTTGTCTGTAGTACCTAACATTTCTTTTGGTGATCAGGGAAAACAGAATATTTCCCCTGAATATCAAATGTAATGTGGTTAGATGTTGGGGTTTTTTTTTTTTCCAATATCAGACTTAAAGATTCAGCTTAATGGTTTTATTATTTTAAATATAAAAAAATGCAATACATACCCCATAGCGGCCTTTCTTTATAGCCACAGACCCAGATCCTCCAATGGAGTAAATTGTCATAGCATCATTAACTTTTGAGATCAGTGGAGAGGCAGTTATTTACACCAGCTAAAGATTTGGCCCATGCCTGAGATGTTCAGGGCTGACTTTGAAACTGGCACTTTTGAACCTAAATGTCAGCGTTTACTAACAAACACTAGCCTTTGTAAATTGATCACAAATAGATTTCATAGTGGATATAATATCACTTTTATGGAAACCTGCTGATAAACAGATAGCCAGATATTTAGTACACTTATATGCCGCCCTTCCCAACAAAGGCTCAGGGCAATGGAAACCAAGAAGAATATTAAGACCTTTGTTACATGGTCACTTTAGGCAGCTTCTGGAGCTCTTAGGCACTTGACTGACTGCATGTTAACAACTTTTAAGTGGCTTACGGCACTCGTTATTTAGCTTAACGTTACCCCGCTCCAGGACAGGGGTAATTTTGCTCCTGTTTTATTAACTTGTAGTCACTCTCTGCAGCTTTTCTGCCCAAGTTCTCCAACATCCCAGGAGGCAATGGGCGTGCTGTGCCTCCCGCCGCTGCTTGCTTTGACCAACTCTGTTCCCAACAGAAGCAGAGACAGCTGGGTCCATGCAGGGGAGGGAACTGTGTCACCGCTGCTGCTCAGACCTGGCTCCTGTCCCTGTTGGGAGCAAAGCCAGCCAGGTACAAGCAGGAGGTGGTGGGTGGACTGTATTGTTCAGACCTGGCTCTGCTGCCCACCAGAGCAGAGCCAGTTGGGCCCGAGCGATGATGTTCCCCATTCCCCAGTGAGACCTTGCTGGCTCTGCTCTCAGCAGGGAGTGGAGCTGGGTCCAAGCAATGTGGTTCCTCCCGCCACTGGGACCCCGCTGGCTCTGCTCCCAAGTAGATTCAGTCAGAGCAATGGCAGAAAGCACCATGGCTTCCAGGACTTGGGGCTGCAGCACTCGCTCTGCCCTGAGAAAGCAGGGAGCACATCCTGCCCCTTCTCACCTTCCTGCTAGTGGTAAGTCACAGCTGTTCAGGTGAGGGGCAATGAGAGCAGGTCTTTTACCTTAACATGCAGCTACTCTGCTGAGCTGAACAGTACTAAACCTGATTAACATTTGTTCAGCTTACATCATAAGGTCTGACAAGGCCCTAAGATATTGCTGTCCACCGCATGGGGCTAAGAGAAAATTCCTCCCCCACCCCACCACTGCTACATGGGTCAGGGTGTTTTTAATGCTTCCTTAGAGGCATTGGGTTTGGCAGCATCCAAAACTAGGAGTTTTCACTGGCTCCTTTACCCCATGTTCAGATCGGTATGGATG